AGTAATGGATTTTAACACACCACTGTCAAAAATGGATAGTTTTTCAAACAAAATATCAACAAAAATGCTGCAGCACTGTACAATGCCATATATCAAATAGACTTAACTGATATATATAGAAGCTTTCATCCCAAAGAAACAAAATACACATTCCTTTCACATGCACATGGAACATTTTCAAAGATAGACCACTTAATAGGACACAAAAAAAGCCTCAGAAAATTCAAGAAAATTGAAATCATATCAAGCATCTTCTGAGACCACAAGGGCCTAAAACTGGAAACCAACCTCAAGGAAAAAAAACTCAAAAACACTCAAATTCATAGAGATTGAATATCGTGCTATTAAACAATGAATGGGTTATGAATGACATCAAGGAAGAAATCAAAATGTACCTGGAAAAAATTGAAAATGAACACACAACAGTCCAAAACTTAGGGGACACAGGCAAAGGCAGTCCTGAGAGAAAAGTTCATAGCTATACAGGCCTACCTGAAACAGACAGAAATATTTCAAATAAATAACCTAATCTTACATCTACAAGAACTGGAGGAAAAACAAAAACAAAGCCCAGAGCAAGTAGAAGGAAGGAAATAACCAGGATCAAAGAAGAATTAAATGACATAGAGACTAAAAAGCACAATCCAAAGGATCAATAAATCCAGGAGCTGGTTCTTTCAAAAGATAAACAAAATTCACAAGCCCTTAAGCAGACTCATCAAGAAAAAAAAAGAGAGGACACAAATAAACAAAATCAGAAATGAAAGAGGAATAATTACAACTGAAACCACAGAGATACAAAGGATTTTAAGAAATTACTACATACAACTGTAAGCCAAGAAATTTGAAAACCTGGGTGAAATGAACAAATTGTTAGAAAAGTATAATCTCACAGAACTGAATGAAGAAGAAACAGAAAGCCTGAACAGACCAATAAAACCTGATGAAATTTAAGCAGTAAACAGAAAACTCCCTGTTGGGGAACTGCCCTGCCTGGTCTCAGGAAGCTGTAACCCCCCGTGACTTAGGCTAAGTGAAAGACCTCCAGACCAGGAGCTACTGAAGGAGACAAAACTTATTTCCCTGGCTTGAATGGCAGTCAATGATGGGTAACAATTCTCCTGGATAGAGAATGAATCTAAGACAGACACGTTCACGAGGGAATGACAGAGACAAGACTCACGGGGCTGTGGAAATGAAGGGGTGATCAGACATCAACCCCTGCCTCCTTTGGCTTTGTCAAAGCCTGAGTCTTTGCTCTTGGATGTGAGAGATCCAAGTCTCCTGGCTGCCTCTGTCTCCTGAGTTGCAGGGGTGAAACAGCCCAGACCAGAAACAGCGGACCCCTGGGGTAATCAGGCCTGGGACATAGAATATGCAAGATCCTGTGAGATCTGTTTGCTGGAGGATGTTATTATCTTGGAATTTAAAAACACAGGCAGGAAACTTTTGGAACCTGTACCTCTTTCATATGTTAAAAACCCCAAACCTTCCCCAGATTCTCAGCAGGAGTGCTGCCCCCACCTTTGTAAGTTGTTTACATCCTTTGATCTTTTCTGCCAGACTGTGAATCCATAAACTAAGTCTGTTTTCTCAATAAAAATCTGCTTGGGTATGGATACTAGGCACTCCCCACGTGAGGAGTGGCCATTCTGTCCCAATTCTCCCACAGGACCTGGTTGTCTCTGTGTATGTTTTTAGCATGTTTCGACAAACATCTGCAGCCGAGATGGATACCGCTGGCCAGTATCCTCCACAACTCCCGGCACACAAAAGCCCTGGATGGGACAGTTTCACAGGAGTATTTTACAAAACATTTAAGGAAGAGCTAACCCGTATCCTTCTCAGACTATTCCAAAAAATCCAAAATGATGGAAGACTCCCAAACTCTTTTTATGAAGCCAGTATCATCCTAATCCCAAAACCATATAGAGACACAACAAAGAAAGAAAACTACAGGTCAATATTGCTAATGAACATAGATGCTAAAATCCTCAACAAAGTATTGGCAAAAGGCATCCAGCAATACATTTGAAAAAATCATACACCATGATCTAGTGGGATTCATCCCCAGATGCAAGGATGGTAGAACACTTGCAAATCAATAAACATAATACATCACATAAACAAAAGGAAAGACAAAAATCACATGATCATATCAATAAATGAGGAAAAAGCATTTGATAAGGTATAGCACCCATTTATGATCAAAACACTCAGGAAAGTGGGAATAGAGGGAGCATTCCTCAACATAATAAAGGCCACATACAAAAGACCTACAGCCAACATCATATTCAATGGGCAAAACTAAAAACTTTCCCACTAAGATCAGGAACAAGGCAAGGTTGTCCACTTTCACCATTTCTATTCAACATAGTATTGGAAGTCCTAGCCACGGCAATCGAAGAAGAAAAGGAAATAAAAGGTATCCAAACTGAAAAAGAGGAAACACAACTGTCATTGTTTGCAGATGATATGATAGCATACAGAGAAAATCCTACAGATTCTACCAAAAAACTACTTGACCTAGTGAGTAAATTTGCCAAAAGAGCAGGGTTCAAACTCAATATTCAGAAATCAAAGGCATTTCTATACAACAACAAAAGATAAGAATTAGAAGTCACAAGAAATCACCCATTTTCTATTCCACCAAAAAAAATAAAGTACCTGGGAATAAACCTAACCAAGGGGTGAAAGACCTGTACTCAGAAAACTATACAACAGTGAAGGGAAGAATTAGAGAAGACACAAATAAATGGCAGCATATACCACGTTCATGGATTGCAAGAATTAACATCACCAAAATGTCCATACTACCCAAAGCAATTTATAGATTCAACACAATCCCTATTAAAATACCAAGACATATTTCAAAGACACAGATCAAACATTTCAAAAATTTATATGGAACTGTAAATGACCTTGAATAGCTGTAGCAATTTTGAGAAAGAAGAACAAAATAGGAGGGATCACAATACCTGACATCAAACTATTATAAGCCCACTGTAATCAAAGAGTATGGTACTGGCATAAGAACAGACAGATAAACCAATGGAACAGAATAGAGAGCCAAGAAATAAACCCAAGTCTCTATGGTCAATTAATATTCAACAAGGGGGCAGAAGAGTATATAATGGAGTAAAAATACCCTCTTCAACAAATGGTGTTGGGAGAGCTGAACAGCTACATGCAAAAAAATGAAACTCAACCACCAACTTACACCATACAAAAAATAAATTCAAGGTGGATAAAAGACTTAAATATAAGTCATGATACCATTAAAGTCTTAGAGAAGAGCATAGGCAGGAAAATCTCAGATATTCCACACGGCAATATTTTCATGGATATGTCTCCTAGAGCAAGGGACATAAGGGAAAGAATACACAAAAAGGACCTCATGCAAAAAGCTTCTGCATGGCTAAAGAAAACAGCATTAAAATAAAAGGAGAACCAACTGTATGGGAAAACATTTTTGCAAATGATACCTTGGACAAGGGTTTCATCTCCAAAATATATAAAGAACTCACACGACTTCTCCAGGAAGACAAACCACCCAATTAAAAAATAGGCAAAGGACCTGAACAGGCACTTCTCCAAGGAGGACATACAGAGGGCCCAGAGACATATGAAAAGATGCTCAGCATCACTAGCCATCAGAGAGATGCAAATTAAAACCACAGTGATATACCATTTCACACCAGTGAGAATGGCCACCATAAACAATTCAACAAACAACAACTGTTGGAGAGGATTTGGAGAAAAGGGAGCCCTAGTGCACTGTTGGTGGGAAAGCAGGCTGGTGCAGCCACTGTGGAAAACATTGTGGAATTTCCTCAGAAAACTAAAAATGGAACTGCCTTTTGACCCAGCAATATCACTGTTGGGATTATACCCTAAGGATCCTGAAACACCAATTCAAAAGAACCTATGCACCCCAATGTTCATAGCAGCACAATTTACAATACCCAAGTGCTGGAAGCAACCCAGGTGCCCATCAGTAAATGAGTGGATCAAAAAACTGTGGTACATTTACACAATGGAATACTACACAGAAGAAAGAAAGGAGCTCCTATCCTTCACAACAGCATGGACGGAACTAGAGAGCATTATGCTAAGTGAAGTATTCCAGGTGGTAAAAGAAAAATACCATATGATCTCACCTGTAAGTGGAACCTAATCAACAAAACAAGCAAGCAAGCAAAATATAACCAGAGACATTGTAATAAGAACAAAGTGACAGTAACCAGAGAGGAGGGGGGAGAGGGGTAGTAAGGGATAATACAGGTAGGGCCATCAAGGAACATGTATAAATGATACATAGACACACCAAAGGGGGTAGGTTTGAGGGTGGGAGGCAGGGATGGGTGGGGTGTGGGGTGTGCTCTAGTGAAAATGAAAAAAAAAGACAGACATGTAAACAAACAACACTTTATGTACAGTAGGTACTATAAGAGATTCAGGTATAGGAAGCATATGAAGAAATCCATCAACTAGATCAAAGGGTAAAACCCTTGTTCTCGAATAGCTTATAATCTCTTGAAGAGCCCAAGTACATACATATGAAACACATTGTAAAATTACAAGGCATTATGTGAACAAATGTCAAGAATTAAATACCACAGGAACCCAGAGTAAAATACTGTAAACTGTTGTCAACAGGAGACATATTACACTAAATACTTAAGGATCCCAGATGGATACAATTTAGATAGGCAGATGGAACTCATAAAATCATTATAAGGAAGTGGAATGACATTATGAAGTCATGGAGGAAGAAATAAGTATGACATGTGTGGGAAATAGTGAAGCCACAGGCTTGGCTAAAGCATAGGGTTTGTGTTATGATAAATGAAAAATAAAGCTGGATAGGGAGGGTGGGACCAGTTGTCACAGAGGCTGGAATTCCAGGCTAAAGAGTGTGGACTTGAGAGGAAAAATGTTTTAGAATGTGGAGAGAAATCAGGAATTATTTCTGGCACAATACTGAGTCCTATGCTTACCTGTACTTTGGATGGGAATTATAGTAACAAAACCATCTTGCAGGTAATGTAGATGGATCAACCTTGCCAGGGAGCTTCCTCCACTTAAGACACTCATCACACTGTACCCACGTCTGGTCAGGAATCTTCCTGAATGAAGGAAAACAGAAGTGTCACTGTGTGTATCCTAGCTTTGTACTGTGTCTTATATTAGAAAGGCACACCCAAAAGTGAAATAACACTATTTTATATATGAAATGTGTTATAGCTATTACAGTCTAGGTGTCTAAAATGTATATATCTTGAACTTCACAGAAAAAAATGATAGAACTATGCCAGATACGGATATGAAAAGTAGTGAAAAATATTAACATGGTAAGCTACCATTATTTATGGAGGTCAATGATATTTATCCTAGAATCTCTTGATCTAAGTAAGCAAGAAAATAATTTTAACTCTAAAATGAATTAACAAAAATTATATATGTGTGTGTGTGTATATAATATATATCTCCAAGATATAAAACCCACAGAATCATTTTATTTGATTCTATGCAATCCTATGGTAAGTTTAAAATGCATCTGTGGGAGTCATTGAAGAATCATCATCAAAACTTTCCCCTCTCCATTTTCCTACAGAATCGCTTCTTTTTTCCTTTTAAAATCAGTCTTTGTGTATACTTTAATCAAAATTTTATTAGGCTTACATTCTCAAAGTTAATCTTAAAAAGTAATGTAAATTTGATTAGATTTTATAACTAGAAATGGTGGCACCAGCCCAATAATTGGGTTAAATTATTAAATAAATTCTTCCAGAGTTCTACTCTTAATACATATACCCTCTCCCACTCCCCACCCTTGCCTAGGAAGCGTATCCAGTCACCTTCACCTTAAAGAAAATTTGTTTCTTTGTGAAAGAAGGTGGTCCATGTATAACAGAAATAGTTAGCATCTAAGATGTGAAAGGAGTGGGAAGGGGAAAGGCTGGAGAAAAGACACAGAAAGAGGGTAGAGGGGAGCCTAGGACCCATTTAAAAAACATAATTTAGCCTAGGGCTGCTTTTGTGTGTTACATTTATATTGCTCTTATACTAGACATATTAATAGAGTGATGTGATTTTTTATGTCTTAGTTCAATATGTTTCTTATCTTTATAGGTAGTGTTTTTTTCTAATTTTAATAGTAGTATCAGCTCATTATAGGAAAAAAGCTAGAAAATACAGAAAGGTATGAAAAGAAAAGACACTCATAATTCTACCACTCAAATACAATATCCTCTTCTTGTTTAAAACTGTTTTAACAGAGAATTCATACATATTTTGGGGTATACAGCTTCCTATCTCATAGCTCCAGGCTGCTCCAGCCTTATAACTGCTAAGCTCTAAGCTTAGGCCTGACCTCTGATGTCTATGTATCTCTGTAAAGCCACTGTTTTGTTCAAAGCCAGAGCAGCAAAAAGCAGTTTCAGCAGTAGTGGGAGGCGAGAGGAAAGGTCATATTAGCTTTGGTTTTACATGCACATGCACAGAGGAGTCTTTGGCAGAAGCATGTCAATATTATTCTCTCAGGGACAAATATTAAAGACAGAAACTCCCTGCCTCAGATTACATGCAGACCATAGTAGATACTTCTATCAAGGCAGACAGGAAGCCTTTTTAGCTTGTGCTTGCAATAAATAGGTAGTTAAAGGGGTTACACCATATTACCCTCATTGCATTGTTTCAGAAAAGCATCATGAATAATGGGTTTTGGAGCCGAAATGCCTATATTTGAACCTTAGCTCTACCCCTTTATACCTGTCTAATCCTCAGCAAGTTACTTAAACTCTCAGTGTATCACTGTCTACATATCCAAAGAAGAAATAATCTCTATCTCATATAGTTGTTGATGAACCAATACATGCAAATACAAGTAAAGAATTTAGAACAGTGCCTGGTACATAGGTAAGTAGTCAATAAAGAATAATCATTATTACAATTCTGCTTCCAGAAAAATTACATAACATACATATATACATTCCAGCTATATATGAACATGTTTTATTGCATTAATCATTGCTTATTTGAAAGGGCAAAAAATATCATCTTATCTTAATTTTCATGTCTTTGAAAACCATGGAAATTGGACATGAATAAGATATTTAGAATAAGATGGTGATATTTATAAAGCAATTAGGTTGCATTTGAAATAAAATTTTATATCATAGCTTTTCCTGATAATTTGCATTAAAAATAAACACAGGTGGGTACCTACACCAAAACGAACTTTTAACATCCAAATATTTGCCTTAATGGTGGTGTAACTGACTGTATATGTGTATTACACATTCTATATTAATCCTATCTTTACGTTCTTTTCCTGGCCTACTGAGGCAGTTCATCTTGATGCATAGTTCTGTGTGTTATTCCCTCTCTTAGATTTAATAAATTCTACCTTTTTTCTGATATGCCGGATTCTCTACTTCTGCTGTCAAATTCCATGGTACAGTTCCAACAATTTCCTCTAGGAATAAAGAGAAGGAAAGTTTGCTAACATTTCGGAATGCCTACTACATGCCAGGTGCTGTGCCAAAAATGTTATAACATCTAATTTATTATACTCAGAGAGGTGAAGTGACTTACCCAAACTTGCCCAACTATTAAGAAGCAGAACGAGATTTTCAACCCAGGAGTACCTGATTTAAATGGCCATCATGGTCTATATCATATTGCCTATAGGAAAAACTGAACATACTAAATTCCTCATATTTATAATCCAAACCACACAAGTCTTAAGCCAGAATGATGAGGTCTAGAGAATGATAAAATTAATACCTGTGATTTCCCAGTTTTAGTTAATTAAACTGCCTTACGTGAAGAGCACCATCTTATTCTTGTTCTTTCCATTTGCCCTATGGATATTACCCTTAATACTTTTATATTCTATAGTTACTACTCACGGTATTGTCCTGGTCATGGCTGAGGTCTCAAAATTCTCTTTGGAAGTCTTTTCCTTCCAATAAGCATTTAGCTTCTGGGCAAGGGCATTTATGGTTAACCTGATAGAAAAAGCAAGAAGAAGCATGTCAATGGTGAGAATTTATTGAACAACTTTGTGACCTTATGAGATGCTCCCACATAAAAGAAGCCAACAATTTAGGTTTGAACAACTACACTTATAGCAACTAGGATGGGAATCCACTACCTTTCAAATTACATGTCAAAATGACAGTCAGAATGCTGAATAGTCACTTTGATTAAAAAGGCAAAATGGTCACAAGTCCTAAAAAGTACTGTGTTCTCCAAATTTTCGAGGCTTTTGGAATTATAGGTGAGGGGTTGATATTAGAGAAATAAAGAAGGACTAAATTTCAGAGATAGGAGAGAGCCAAACACTGATATGTTATTTGATTGTCATGTGACTACATGTAAACTATTGAGGACCAAGTTGAAAGTCAGAGGATCAAAAACTACATCTTATCTATTACAAGTCAATCAAATATTCATTTTAAAATGTCCATACAGTTCCTTTTCATGCAACTGCTGATTAGAGCAGTTACAGCACCAATGGACAACAAAGTCCCCTTAAATCTTCTACTACACAGCTGTTAGTGGAAGCTATACCCCAGTTTTGGCTGTTCTTCTTTCTCCTTTATCTGTCTTCCCAAATTAACAAGAGTAGACCGAGGGTCAAAATATATAATGTATATAAAGTCAAAACCAGAACATTACTTTTAAAAACTGTCCATTTCTAATGACTAAATCTTATTTAATTCTACAACCCAGGAGTATAACTTCATATACAACTGTACACACATGAAATACTACTGAATTAGTATATTTAAAATCTCCTGACTCTGGATTGTTTCCCAAGGTTTTTATAGACCTCTTCTCTCCATAAGAGGAATTCTTCCTTACCCCCCACCCCTTACTTATATTAAATTAGATTCTGACTACACAGAGAAGATTATAGTTGTTACACATGAGCTCCCCTTCAATGAAGTAATATTCCTACCTCTATGTTTATATCTTTCCCTCAAGGCAAAGATAAAGAACTATTCCTTGTTTTCTCTTAATATTCTACTTTAAATCTACTTAAAAAATAAATCAGACAAGATTCTGGGAAGATGGTGAAGTCAAAAGACCAAGAATTTTACTCTCCACCTAGACAACTGCACTGTCTGAATCTATCTGATGTAACTGTTTGGAACTGTGGAGTCTATTGAAGGACTGAAATTTCCAAGGGAAGGCTTGGATGGTAAATTGGCAAATTTTAGCTCTTAGCACACTAGTAGCTACCATCCCTTAGCCCCGTGACAGGCAGCTGTCCTAAGAGCAGCTTACAGGGGCCAGGGTGGGGCAAAAAGAACTCTGTCCTTCAAATATCAGGGGTCTGTGCTCTGATAGTTGTGTGCTGTTTCTGATCACAGGCTTGTGTCACCCCCATGGTAACCACAAAGAAAAGAGCTGTAAAATATGCACAAAAGGAAATGAGAAGATTTAAATGTTTGATCATAAAAAATCAACAACACAGAAGACAGTAATGTAGGAAACAAGGATCACATCACATCTATAAAGCATATAGAAAACAAAAAGTAAAGTAACAGAAGTGCCTCATTATCAGTAATTAATTAATTTACATGTAAATAGATTAAACTCTCCAAACAAAACACAGAGATTGGTGGAATGAATAAAAAAACATGATCCAAATATCTGCTATCTACAGGAGACTAACTTTATTACTTTTACTTTTTTCTTTTACTGATTCCAGAGAAAGGGGAAAGACGGGAGAAAGAGGAGAGAAACATTGATGTGAAAGAGAAACATCAACTGGTTGCCTTGTGCATGCATCCCAACTGGGGAGTGAACCTGCAACCCAGGCATGTGCCCTGACCTGGAATCAAACCCCCAACTTTTCAGTTTGTGGGATGATGCCCAACCAACTGAGCCATAGCAGCCAGGGCTATAACAGACTAATTTTAGATGCAAAGACATAAATAGGTAGAAAATGAAAGGATGAAAAAGAATATTCCATGTAAATAGTAACCCAAAGACAGCAAGGATGGCTATACTAATACAATTAGACAAAAGGAAGTAGTACCTCCACTTATTTGTGGTTTTGCTTTCCATGGTTTTAGTTAGCCACAGTGAAAATGTGGTCCAAAATATTAAATGAAAAATTCCAGAAATAAACAATTTGTAAGTTTTAAATTGTGTACTGTTCTGAGTAGTGGGATGAAATCATGCACTGTCCAGCTCCATCCTACCAAGGACATGAATCTTCCCTTTGTCCAGCATATCTATACTGTATGTATAGTACAATAAGATATTTTGAAAGAGACCACATCCATGTAACTTTTATTATAGTATACTGTGATAATTGTTCTATTTTATTGTTATTGTTAATCTCTTTCTGTGCCTAATTTATAAATTAAACTTTATCATAGGTATGTATGTATAGGAAAAAACAGTATTTATAAGGGTTTGTACTATTCATGGTTTCAGGCATCCATTGGGGGTTTTGGAATGTATACCCCATGGTTAATGGGGAACTCCTATAGACAGTATATCATGATAACTAAAACATGGAAGCAACCCAAATGTCCATTGATGGCTGAATGGAAAAGCAAAATGTAGTGTATATATATATACAATGAAATATTATTCAGTCTTAAAAAGGGATGGAAATTCTGATACATACTTCAACATGGATGAAGCCTGAAGACATTATGCTCAGTGAAAAAAGCCAGTCACAACAAGGCAAATATTTTATGATTTAACTTACGTGAGGTATTTAGAACACTCAAAATCACAGAAACAGAAAGAGGAGTGGTGGTTGCCAGGAGCTGGTGGGGGAACATGGGGAATTATTGTTTAATGGGTATAGAGTTTCACTTTACAAGATGAAAAGAGTTCTGGAGATGGATGGTGGTGATGGTTGCTTAACAATATCAATGTACATAATACCACTGAACTGTGCACTTATGAATAATTAAGCCCTGACGGTGTGGCTCAGTTTGTTGGGTGTTGTCCTGCAAAGTGAAGGGTCACCAGTTCAATTTCTAGTCAGGGTACATGCCTGGGTTGTGATTTTGGTCTCCGGTCAGGGTGTGTATGAGAGGCAACCAATCAATGTTTCTCCCTCACATCAGTGTTTCTCTCCTTCTTTCTCCCTCCCTTCCTTTCTCTCTAAAAATAAGTAAATAAAATCTGTAAAAAAAAAAAAAAGGAATGGTTAGGATGGTCATGTTATGTGTATTTTGCTACAACCAAGAAAATTGAAAAAAAGGAAGTAGATGCGTGGCCGCTGGAGGTTTAAGAGAAGGAGAAATGTGGAGTGACTGCTAATGAACAAGGGATTTATTTGGGGTTATGAAAATATTTTGCCATTTCCCATATCCTATTATCAATAAATTTCCAAAAGTTTATCGTCGTTTTTATAGAATTTGCCATATATTTCATTTTATGCAGCTACTTTTATTTCAGATCTTCACCTCACACCTAGATTATTCTAGTAACCTTCAATGCATCTTACACCCTGTTGCCAGATTTATCAACTGATGTAATCTGTGTAAAGCACTGTATAAACCATAAAGCTGTACATAAGTATAATATACACTTGACCCTTGAACAATGTGGGCTTCAACTGTGGAGGACCACTTCAAATCTACATTGTTCAAAATCCATATATAAGTGAAACTGCAAAGTTCAAACCTGCATTGTTCAAGGGCCAACTGTAATTTTGATCCGTAGCTGGAAATTTGTATACCTGGAGGGCCAACTTAAGTTGCATGCAGGTTCTCAACTCCATGGGTAGTCAGGACCTCTAACCCCCTCATAGTTCAAGTGTCAACTGTATTAGATTCTTAAGACAGCATTTCAGTCCACTCCCCTATTTAAGAACACAAGTGACTTCTTATCACCTAAGGCATCAACCACTCTACCTTCTATCCCTCTAAAACAGAAATACTCAAACCTTCTAGGTTCATGGCACCCCTAGTATCTCAAGTTTTTCATGGCACTCTCAAGTGAAAATAAATATGTACTAGTTCAATTTATTACATAATCAGGTATAAACAATTTAGTATTTATCAATTAAAATTTAGAATCCATTTGAAAAAAATACATTTAAGTTAAAAAAAGATTTCTATTTTATTTTTAACCACAATTATCTATTAATGGGATGTGCATGCCTGTTGGTACTGTACTTCTCAAACCTTGGAATCAAACTGGACACAGCTTTCCTCATTTCTTAGTCATGTATGTTCACGTATTACCATATTTTTCGGACTATAAGATGCACCTTTCTTCTCCCCAAATTTGGGAGGAATAATGGTTGTTAATGCTGCTGCTGAGTTCTGTTTACATTTACATCGGTGAAATATTATGTTTTTTTGTTATTAAATATTTTTCCACATTTTTTGCTTCAATTTTTTTTCCTATTTTCCTCCTCTAAAACCTAGGTGCACCTTATGGTCCGAAAAATATGGTACTTGCTTTGTCTCACAGCAATTGCTGAAAGCCCAGATTCACAAACTTATGGTGTAATCAAAAGAAATGCAGCCGATTTTCATACTTGGAAATTGGGGTACTGCTATATCAAATACCTAAAAATATGGGAGTTACTTTAGAAATGGGCAGTGGGCAGAGGGTGGAAGAATTTGAGGGCTATGAAGGAAGTGAGGATCATGGTAGAAAAAAAACACAAATTCCCTTAGATAATACCAAAATTATTGTGAACGGACTATTAGTACAATTACGGATGTTAAAGGTGTTGCTTGTCAAGGCTCAGAAGGAAATGAAGAACGTGTTATTGGAAATCTTGAGGAAAGGTGATCCTTGTTATATAGTGGCAGAAAGCTTAGCAGAGTTGTGTCCTAGAGTTATACAGAAAGCAGAACTTATAAGTGATGAAACATTTGGCTAAGATTTCCAAGCAAGTGTTGAAAGTGTGGCCTGGTGTCTTCTTGCTGCTTACGTGAAGTGGGAGATGAAAGAAAGAAACTTAGGGAATAACTACCATATTTTGCCATATATAATGAGCACATTTTTTGCCCAA